CATCCCGATGCTTGAGACAGACCGGCTATGGACATCCTTGATTGAACCAAACAACCAAACTTCGCATCTGGAGCCGAGGAGCACAGCCCATAGCTTAGATGCGCTTGCGGCGCAGCCGATGCAGCATGGGATGTGCTTCCGTGTCCAGCGGTATATGTAAAGCGTTGAATGGAAACTTGCTTCTGCTTGGGCCTTGCTGAAGTCGGTCTTGCTATGACTTTCCGGGTTACCTCACCCACTGAACCTTGTTTGCATTAGGAAGCGAGGCTCCGGAGCTCATCGTGAATGCGAAGCTCACGCTTACTTTTGAAGTTGACGGGTCCGATGTGACATCATGGAGATGTCTTATGGGATGAGGCTATGACCTGGCTACATTCGGCAAGTTCTTGCATGGATGCTCGCGACTTGCTGGCCATGCGCGACACGAGCGGGCTGCGAAGGATCGAAAACTAACAGCCCCAAAAACCCACCTTCGGAAACATAGAGAGAAGAACCGAGACTCACACTCTTGCGATCAAAGCTGCACATCGTACTTTCAGGCGATCGGCAAGTCTGTTCGGTGGTATCCGATCGTCACCCTTAAACCATCTAGCCTCTAGTTTTCGATCTCAATCTGCGACCTCCAGCATTGGAAACCAACGACAAAGATGCAATACTAAACATGATCGCTTTGGCAGCCAAAGGAGATGCTGATGCTGATGTCGATGCTGCCAGTCTTGATCTTACTCTTCTGACCTCCTCCTAGTTTCGACGACCACCTATGCCTGGACCCACACCGACTTCTGCTACGGCGAGGACAACCACGACAACTCCGTTCATGGCGACGGCTCGTACTTTCACTTCTGTTGCTACTACAAACCAACGACACTCGGAAAGAGCTGAAACAAACTTTCGTGAGAAGTGCATCGTGAACGAGACAGCGACAAGCAACCTCATTGCAGCAACGCCTGCACCAAGGTCCGTGCCTCTGCAGTTGACTCGGAGGCAGCATCGATTTGACAGTTGCCATTGCCTAGCAAGAAGCTGCGGAGCTCAAGGATATAAGCATGGAAGTGAGATATACATGGCCTAATCTGGCCGAGATCTCGCCGCTCTTCAGGCACAGGGTTAAGACATGGCTTTGACACATCAATCAATAATACGCTTAGCCTGAGGGTAGACAAAAAGGGCTACGGGGAAGGGCACGGTAGCTCTGGCATAATGGTCGCACAACTGCATATCCTGGGGCACGTTACACCACGGCAGGCCTACCAGTGCCAGGACCATTCGCGAAACAAACAGAGAAAAGGAAAAAGCACACGCGGTACACATGCGAACAATCACGACTCTTGATATTCATGTTGTCCAGCACTTTAACGGCTAGTATCGTAATGTAACGTGAAAGCTCGGATTGCTGACCCTAGGGACCTAGGGTCATCCCGCGGCGCATAGACAGTTGGCACAACTAAGCCGTGGTCGTCTGTCTGGTTCCTAGTAGGGAATGGGGGAAGGGATTATGGAGACTATTATTCGGGAATATATAGGGACTACTATAGGGATCTATTCCCCCATTCCCTACTGAGTACCACCGAGAGGAGCCACTTGCCATCCCTCCGAGGGTTCGATAAGACCGCTCTTCCTTTAGCTGGAGTTCTTCGTCGGACCTGCTACAGGGTTAGGGGTCCAATCCAAAGCAGCCATGGAGCTGCACTTGAGGGTCCAAGGTGATTGAGTTTATGTGGGGAGGCTTCGTGACTAGGTACAGTTGAGTGCATTGTATCATGGGGCCTGATGATAAGGACAACAAACATAAGCGAACATACGTGCTGTTCCGATCTCGCCAGGAAAAGGATTTCGCTGTGGAGAAATGTGTATCGTAGTGATCAATGCTGCTTCTGAAACTGCTCCTTGACCTTTAGATTCAATCGTGACTGGGCTTGCGGGACTCAAGAAGCTGGAGATTGAAGGGTGCAGGGATTAGGGCTCTAGCAGACCTTACCGCAAGCAAACCGGTCCCTGGTATAGCCTGGAGGTATTGCCTGATTTGTTGCTCGGAAATTACGTGTTTTCCCAATGTCATCTTTTCCTGGTGGGCTTTTCGCCAGTAATTATGATTCTTAAACCTGCCGGACAGCACACACTACACAACTGAACAGTGTGCTTGTGCGTGTCTACATTCCTCACGTGGACATCATAATCCGAACCATAAACCCTTAGACCCGAATCTCAAAGCGCCAAATTTCGACTGGAGCCTTAGAGGAGGACGATGTGCCGGTAGTCACATCTGCCAGGGCGCCTCAAGCACTCCGGCTTCAGGGTGGAGAGATCTGTCTTCACCCTTCGAAATATCTATCCGTATATGTAAACAGAGAGAGAAAGAGAATCACACTGCAAACACACTAATTAACACATATGTATACGTGTATGTATGTATATATATATATATATATATATATGAGCGTGTGTGTGTGTGTGTGTGTGTGTGTGGGTGTGTGTGTGTGTGTGTGCGTGCGAGTGTGTGTGTGTGTGTGTGTTTGCATGTATACCTACACAAGTACAAATGTGTATCATGAAAAGTGCATACATATGTACACGTACCTATACATACATACATGCATACCTACGTACGTACATACATACATACATTACATACATGCATGTGTTTATGTGCATTCAACCAAGTATGTATGCGTATATACGTAGATGTAAATGTGCATGCATGTGTATGTGTAGCAGTTTTCAGTGATCTACCTATCTGTGTACATGCATATCTCTCTCTCTCTCTCTCTCTCTCTCTCTCTCTCTCTCTCTAGATATATATATATATATATATATATGTATATACATATATATATATATATACACACATGCATATCTGTTATGGCCCCGTGTGTGCAGCGATGGGATCGGTCTACAGTATTCAAGCGGACACGCATAGCAACATCACGAAGGCAAGCAGTATGTAATTGTAACAACCCTGCACCGGTGGAACACATGGACATAAAATCCGGTACACTCAAGAACCAAATAAGTGCAGCTCTTGAGCAATATGAAAGTGCAAACCGATCCCCAGTTCAGCATATGCAGACGCGCGCACCGATTGTGACCGAATGCAGACCCCTGATTGATAAACCTCCTTCCTTTGAGGGCCCTGATATTGGGATCCGCACCTATAACATCCCGATCAGGGGGAAGGAGTCCCTTAATCGGGATCTACAACAGGGTTCAGGGTTTAAAGTTGTCTACAGACCCATGGTCTCAAACTCAACACCCTTGACCTTTAGATTCCAAGGCGATGTACGAAGTAATATACCCATAATCGACAGGATCGCGGGACTTCATAAAAAGAGCTGCCAAAGGTGAGAAGGGAGCCACAACCCTTTTAACACATGGTAGCACATCACGAAAATCACACAGAGAAGCAGTCCCGTCCGCAAGACCCTATACCTAAAAGCGTACATCCCGCGCCCTTCCAAAGGGCAAACGTAAGTCCCGACCCCAGACACCCTTGCCATCCCGCAGCCGCAAGCCGGAACAACATAAGGAAAACGCCTGGCAGGAAGGCCGCGAGTAGTAGCCGGCCCATCCTCACATGTCCCACTCTTCGGGGCATCCCTAGTATAGGTTTTTGGTTCCACCGTTGAGGGTCAAGGGATTTGGATTTAAGATGGTCGCCGTTTGGTCTAGATGTCTTAGGCTCGACGTAGGTCTATTCCTGAGTGTAAACCTAGACACTGACTGCTAAACCCTATCTACTAACTAGCCCTACATATTGAAGGGGAGTTCTCGAATTATTCTCGTACAGTAGCGCTACCCTGTTGAAGGGGCCCTACTGCAGGGATCTAGATTAGGGCGCCGCATTCTCTGAACACAAGATAGGCCCTGAGCCACTGTGTAAGCATTATGGGTGCGAAGTGTGGTGATTTTGCGCAAGCTTGTTATGCGTGCTTGTGCATCTAGAGACGCACTCATTGGGTCAAATGAACCGGGACCAAGTTCTGCTCTTTCAGCTCTTCGTCCTATGCTGCTCGAAGCCCTAGCCCGACACCCTGAACGCATGAACCATAAGGGTCTAACGGAAACAGCTTCAAGCTTGGCCCTAAGCCCCACATCCTAAACTTAGCCCTGCAACCTGAAAGTCAGGGCGCATGGCTGCCCAGCATCGGTCCTCGTGGAGCAACTCCAGCTGCAGGCAGGCTGTGAATCGAAAAGGCGCTGGACGAGCGAATGATCCAGAATCTGGGTGTGGTTGTTTAGGGTTTAATGATCCAGAATCTGCTCTTGGGGCATCGCATTGTCCAACTCGCATTGTCCAAGGGGGCTTGAGGCTGATTTGCATGCAAGGAAATCATAGACCCCAATGTTAGGCCTAGGTGGCAGATCCATAAGTGATGGTACCAACTACCAGCTTTTTCGCGAGTTAGCCCGGTGCACTTTACCGTCCTGCTTGGGCAATGTAATATAGTGGTTCCGTCCCAAGTCTTCGAAACCCTTGCGAACCCGGAACCCAAAACCTTATTCTCCAACCTTATAAATCAACGACCGTGGAGGCGCTAACGGCCTCTACTTGCCACCGGAGTACGGACTTCCAGCCGGGATTCTGGACTACATCTTGCCTAAACACCAGCCGGTAACAAGCGGTTCTCGGTTCTTCCGACTCTTTCTCAGACCAAGGTGGCTCTACAGGTTTAGTATCCAGAGCCGAAATACTATAGCAATAGTATAAGAAGTTAATGATGCTATATTCATAACAGTAATACTAAAGTAATGCTATAAAGATCCAACAGTACCAGTAATGCCATAGTAATACTACACTAGTACTGCAATACTACCATACCAAACTTACTACTACTATTCATAATACGACTTATACTGGTAATAATAGTAATACCAATAGTAATACTAATTACAATGCAAGCATACAATACTTGGGACTTTGACCCGAATAGAACCCGTCCAGCACCAAGAGCTGTACCCTGCAACATCGGCCGCTTTTTGTGTGCAGGAGCTGTGCGTAGCGCCTACGGTTGAGTTCTTTCCTTCATAGCTTCAAGCTCCATTGGGAAACCACTCATGCTACAGTGCCAGCATCTCACTACGTCGCCTCCTCCTAGGACTTGTGAGCCGACTGCAAGATCTTGGGATCCACAAAAGGGGCAGAACATCACTGTGTGCAGACCTTTGCTTGCCGCAGTGCTTGATAAGTTTTCGGACAGACCTGCAGAGAGCTCTGGATAGAGTTTGTTGTCGACGGGAAAAGCCTGCCATGCGGCATGAGCACCGAAAAGGGTAGCAAAGCAAACCACCACGAACGTCAGGAGGCCACTGACCTCATGAGGGTGAAGAGTGTGGCCATTCTTCAGTTGCATCGTATCTGGAACACCAAACAGACCGGCCAGTGACGCGTGCAGAAGAGCTGGAAGCAGGTTCATGCCCCACAGAAACACCTGCGTGTAGCGTTGCTTGCCTTGAAACTGCAGGCCACCGCCACCAGGCACAACTGCAGTAACGAGCGTTGCCAGGCCTCGACACTCAGAGTTGGCAACCAGATTGCTGATTACTTTGATCACCATGAGGACTGGAGCTCGGTCAGCAAAGAGACCAAGGAAGTGCGCCCCTGCAGCTCGTTCGGAAGCAATGAATAGCTCAACGAAAGCTAAGATAGGCTGGATGATACAAAACTGCCAAATTCCAGAATTCAACCTTGGCAGGTCCATGGCCTTTGGGACTCTTTCCTGGAAGAAGGGCATCAGGCAGCAAAGTGGCGCGCCGCCGTAGAGACGTAGAGGCTTCTTGCTGCTTTCTGCATACTTCCTTATGAGCATTTGCAAGTGCACGGGCCCCTGGGCCACGCTCACAAATAGATGTGGCACACCTTTCATGACATGCACAAGGATGAGTGTCATCAGGAAGCGCCATAGAGGTGCACTTTCCACAAAGAGTATGGCACAAAGGACAGTTATAGCAAACATGGGTGGTGCAGCCAGCAGCTTCATCACGTCAGAGGTCCTCTGCGCAGGTGTGACTGTCCCAGTAACCCTCTGCCCAGCTCTGAGGTGCAACCACATCAAACGGAATGATGAGATGATGGAAACTGCAGCAGCCAACAAACAAAGCAGCAAAACCACATGCAAGCGGAGGTCGATGGGCGGCTGCAGAAGCTTCTCACTTGTCGCCATTAGTCAGGCTTCTTGGGAAGTGGATTCCAACCTGCTAGGTGGTGATGCTTTCGGCTTACCCAACGGGTCCAAGTATCATTACGGTCTTATACTTACAGGGTATTTTGGGGGTCTAAGTATATAGCATAATGATACTTGGACCCTTTGGGTTGCCCGAAGCCCTAAACCTTAAGAGTCTGGAGCCGGGCTACAAAATATAAAAAAGCTGAACAGAAGTGGCCTTCGCAATTTGAGGCTCAGGCTAGGCACTGGAAACAGATGCAATGAATGTGCTACCCAATCAAGTTCAGATTGAAACGGCACGGTGGGCCTCGCTTTCATTTGTTGGTGAGAGTCATGGTAGCATGGCTCTGGATTTGATGATGCTTGGATGTGGTAGGGCAGTGCCGCCTCCCCCGAACATGCAACTTGATGCAACGCATCTCTGAAAACGGACCTTCACAATTTAGAGAGTTGGAAGTGGCTCGGAACTCCGTTTGTCACAACAATACTTGTCACAATCAGACTTATCTCACCTTGGTGAACCCAGAGAAACCTACCATAACGCAGGCTCAGGTGATCTCAAGGCTGTAGGAACTCAAGGCTGTAGGAAGCCCGCTACGCATTCCTAGCGTGACCGTGGATGCCGCTGTTCGACTCGACAGCTTGGAAAAAGGAAACAACACGTAATGCAGCTGAAATCTCAGCACCTCCCCAAATGGCCATTAACACTGGTATGAATTGTATCCCGGCAAAGCTGTTTCTCCGGCTGGTGAACTCCTGATCTGCAACTTGGGATCGTTGCCCGAGGTGCGTCGCAAACTAAACCCATCGGGACTGAGGGTACGAGGAGCAGCACGGCGAAGCTGCAGCCCTCTGCAACGTTGCGACATGTTCTGAGCAAAACGAGGTTAGATGAGTTAGATGTACCGTCTATCACCCTACCATGGGTTGCCTGGGGTCGTGTAGCCTTGTCATCGGCTTGCATTGGCAGCGGCCTCATTCGTCGCACGACACGACGGTCGAACAACCCACCTGAGGAAGGACATGCTTCCGACACAGAAGCAACGATAGTCGTGTTTGTTAGCATAATGCACGTCTCGTGGCATGTTGATAGAGAGTCTGCCCACGGAAGGTTAAGCTGCAAAGCATGCAAAAGTAGTTTTTGCAGAATAGTATGCAAGTTTGGATCCCTTGACATTTTCGTCAGTCTCAGCCGCACTTATCCACTTTGAACTTTCAAGCTGCATGCAGCTCTAGGGGAGGCAAAGGATAGAGAGAGACAGAGAGAGACAGACAAAGAGAGCATGTAGAGGTGGTGAGCAAGCATGTAGAAACGTACATGCTAATTTCTAATTCCATAATGGAACATATGCACCACCATACATGTTTGAGCGCATGGCTGAACGCATACATTCTCAGGATAAAACATAAGAAAAAAACAAGGGTCGATACGCATTGAAACGAAGCATGCATGCAAGCATAAATACTAGAACCTTCATGCGTATCGACTTGCTTAGCTACCCAGGCCTGCCTGCCTGAGCCTGCCTGACTACCTACAAATTATACATAAACACAGACACACATGCATGCATGCACACATGCATGCGCTTGTGCATATGCACAATCGCATGGCGAACAGACACACACACACACACAGACACACACACACACACACGCGCGCGCGCGCGCGCGGGCGCGCACGTGCACACGCTTACAGATACATACATACATTCATTCATTCATGCATACATACATATGTATATACATACATAAGACATACATACATATATACATCATAAATACATACACACACATATGCATACATACCTACGTACACACATGCCTGCGTACAAATGTAAATGCATGTACTAGTCAAAACCACATACATACGTTACATACGCGCAAAAAGCAAACAACCAAACAACAACGCACACACACAAACATACATCCATACACCCGTACAGGCATGTACACAGAGGTCGACACATCCATCCATCCATCCATCCATCCATGCATCCAGCCAGCCAGCCATCCATGCATACACACTTACATGTACATGCAGACACAAATGCGTTAATACATGCATCTTGCATACACACATACTTACATGTATTCATACATACGTGGACATTACTCATACACATGCATGCATGCACATTTGCATGTACTCATTTTGTGGCATGTATGCATGCGTGTACGTGTTGGTGTGTGTGTGTGCCTCGGATGCATGGATGGCTGGGTGTATGGATGGATGCATGCATGGATGGATACATGAATACATGGATGGATGGATGCATGGTGCCAAAGTTTGTAATGCATCATGCATGGCTGGATGTATGTGTTTATGCAAGACTATGTACTTATGTATGTACGCATGTATGTATGGATATGACTGTGTTGTATTTTCACGTAATGATACTACATCTGATGGTAGCACCCAGAGATCGCAACGTAGCTTGTATTGAGGATTACGCACAGAGCCCTCTATAGAAGTGCCTGCAACAGGCGAAAACTACTCCCTTTGCAACTTCGGTTCAGCAAATCCCGGACGAGGGGTCTTTCCTGCTGGTGGTACTCACAAAACATGCCTTAACACACAAGTTCGAGGTTTCCCACAATCGTTCCATCTCGGTCGTCTTAAGTATGAATACCTCCGCCCTACGGAACGACCCTTGAGTCGGTGGAACGGCACTAGGTAACTGAATTGAGTCCCACGGTTTAGGATTTAGGGTTTTTATTGGTTCAGGGTTTAGCGTTCAGGGGAAGTGGCTATTGTCACCCTCATCAGCACACTCACGACGACACTTTCCGGCTAAGAATGCAAAAGCGCCGCAATGATTTTCTGCCGCGCCGGCACGTGGAACTTGATGATCCGTATCAGGAGGCACATGTCGCACTGCAGCTTCGGACTTCCGGAACGGGCAGGCCACATGTCTGTCAGGCGGTGCCCAGCAAGCCAGAACTGAGGCCTCAGGCGTAGCTGAGACCTCGTTTGCCTTTCTCTTAACATGTACGTTCCTTGCTTGCTGTGTCCCCCAAACCCCTCGTCTAGAGATTGCGGCCCCTGCATTAATGCCTTGAGGAGTTGGGGCGCTCCTCTGGACCTCCCGACCAAACAGAGCTCCCCTGTCTGACAGGGCAGTGAAGCCCTGAATATCGTGCCCCAAAGCTCGAGCTCAGTTCAAGATAGCCTCAACCCGAACTCAAAAACAGGGTTTAGGGTGTCGGAGTTTCGGATTTATGGCAGGATTTTATTTCCAAAAAAAACTAGACAAGCGGCCAGGAGCTGGTACTTGTTTTCTGGGCGGAGTCTCAAACCGTGTAACAAGGAACCTGACTAGCCTGTACGACCGCCCACCGCCCTTCAACTCCGAAGCCGTCCCCCAAGTACCCTTTATAGTAGTCCCTAACTACCTCTTAATGAGAAATATCAGAGCCCTTTAAAGGCTACTTGGGGGTCCTGGAAGCTAGTAACCATATTACTTATTGCATGTGGTTCCTCATTTCTGAAACTCTCAGACCACTCTGACGTGAAGACCTTGTTCGGGGTCTTTTTTGGCTTCTGCCAAGAGCAATGAAGGAACAACTCGCGCTTCGACACCCTAATCTGATCATTGGAAACCCTATTAATAGGGTTTCCAATGATCAAATTAGGGTGTCGAAGTGCATGATTTAGACCCCGAAGCACTCCCAAGGCCGAAACCAATAATTAAGTTCTAAAGCTCTAAACCATGTTGCGCATCTTAGCCCGTCAGGCTTGCCTTCGTTTGCTCAGGGCACGATAGTCGGGTCCAAGTCAAACCCGCGCTGTACGAGCAAAATGCACTGTGCAATGCCTCTGGGACTAGGTTTCCCTTTTCCTGCTGGGCTCAAGCCAGACTGGGTTCCCACTGTTGAGCCCCAAATATTTGGTTGCTTGTTTTGCTTGGTTTAAGGCTTAAGGTGTGTGAGGATAAGGGGTTTGGGTATCTGGGCTTTTCAGCGAGACAGTCCTGAGTTCACGATTTCAGGGTGTAGGGTTTACGGCCATCCTGAAGACAACGACGGTCATCAATTTGCGGCTAACAGTACAACCGTCGCCACCGCCACGACCACGAGCAGCCGCAGCACCAGTTCGAGCCACCAGCGCTAGCGGCTGCAGCACCACCATCACAGCAGCAGCAGCAGCCACAACATCGTATCAATAGCAGCTGCGGCATGTCCATCATAAACGTGTTGTCACTCATACGAAATTACCAGCTTCAACGTTGGCACCCGCATCAAGAGGAGCCGCAGCAACAGCTGCTTCATAATCACCACAGTGGTTGCTACCGTCACTTCTTATTATATCGTTGGCCCATACCTAGATCCACTTTATGCCGCTAAGACAACAGGCTCCGACCCAGATTCGTTGGAGTGTTCTCAGGGTGCATAGTCCTACCCCCAGAGGCTTTGGCGGGCTGCGTCTTCGACTAAGGCTTTGCTCTTTCCATGTTGCATGGTCTCTCTTTCGGCCTTCCTAGCAACCTACTCCAAAGTTTTGGGGCTTATAGGTCGGAGGCTAGGCATATGTAGTAAGGGCTGGGATGCAAGGCGACGTGGTAAGGGTGAAGGCTGCCGCCACGCCACTGCTGATGGCGTTCGGGAACAAGACACATCACTTATGCGCTCGTGTTGCTCGTCGATTGTTTAAAATGCCCGCACAAGTTCATGGCTCGAAAGAGCAGGACGAGATTAGCGCACAATATCATATATTTGCGCTGGTTTGGTGCCTGTTGCCCTGAAGCACAAAGCGCAAAGGACATTTCCAATGGCAGCTCAAACGATCGCGTAAGCTATTAAAAAAATCTGACTCTCCGACAGTCACTCCAAAGCAAGGACCTAGCCGATGATATCATAATGATGATGCTGTTGCTCAGACAGGACCTCTCTAGTCCGAAGCCATAGTCGAAACGTCTGCTGCAAGGCCTGAGGGGGTTGCTCCAAGATGTGGCCCCAGTCTGCCATAACCCTAAACCCCTACTAAGCCCTTCCCCAAGCCCACCAAGCCTTAAAATCCTAAACCCTTAAACACTAAACCCATACATCCGGATTTTGCTACGGCACGACGATTTGGCACAACCCCCAAGCGGACCTGCAGCTTCGACTGAGCAGTGCATTCACAGTAGGCTCGGCCCTCTCAGACCCTGGCACAGCTGAGGTATTCAGGGCTTGTAAAAGCTGGGGAGGAGTAAGCTCTTAGACTCTGATAAACTCCTGCAGGGCCTAAAACATAGATTCTGAAGTCTACTATGCTTTCCGAAAACAGACTCAAGCACAAACTCCAAAAAATAAGCTTCAAAGTGGGAAGCCTTCACCCTCGAATCCTGCTCGCAAAGTTCTACGGGGATGAAGCACGGCTTGAGGTTGAGGGCTACGAACAAGGTTTCGGCTGTGACGCTCCCTGAAAGAGCTTAGGATTCGGTCTCTTCTTTTGGACTTGGGCCGAGGCTTTGAGTCTTAGGCGTTTGGGCTTAGGGACTCTCGCTTCGACAGTTAACTCTTAGAGTAACCCTAAACCCTAAACCCTAAACCCTAAACCGCATCCGGCTACAACATCTGAGTGTCTCAGTCCCCCACGCAGCACTTTTGCTGGTGTCTGGAGTCTGCGTCACAGAACTTGCCTTGACACCTTCGCTCAGTGATGGCCGCATTGTGAACAGTCAAGATCTCAGTAACCACGGTCGTACAGAAATCATACACACCTCCTATCCAAGACCCCGGCGATAAAACCACTGTCCGTGCTGGCTTACATTGTCAATCTCCTGCATAGCTCCCTGGACTCCAATTTTCGGAAACCCCCACCTCTTTGTCCACAGGTTGGGGCAGTTTCGAGGTCGTTCCTGATGTCCGAACAGTCAGCCCAAACGCGTGAGGGATCTTTTTGGAGTTTTGGTGGTGCTCCAATTTTGGCTCCCTTGTTGGATCTCCAACGCCACTCTTATGAAAACCATGACCCTTACTGGGCCTAGATACTGAGGGAGTCCTCGGCACGTAGCCTGCGAAAAAGTTCCTGTGTTGTTGCCGCAAGTACAAAGACCCGAGACTTCGTCAGAATGCAAGACGGGGCACCGATCACACCTGCCAAGAGCCCTTCCTGCGGCGAGAGAGTTGTTGAGTGTCAGGAAGGGTTGCATAAGTAGAATATGGTTTTCGGCAAATATAGACAGCCTACAGGGAGATACTATTACTGATTCTTCAGACCTCTATATCAAGGTGCTTGAATTTAGTGCTGCTTCAAGGCTGCATGCGTTTTTTTAAACAAATCGAGGTTATCTCCGAACATAAACCTACGTTCTTGAGGGCACACATAACATTGTCGTTTTCCTACATGGAGCCGGAGTAACACATTATTCAACAACGGAGCTAGAGGTTCTCGCAAGTAGACTCAGGAATCCTACTTGCACGGGACCAGGACGATAGTCGGTGGCCCTCCCGGAATCCTACGGTAATTCCTTCAGAAAGTAAAGCCAATATTGCATCAAGCAGAAAACGCCCGTTATAATCCTGTATACAGGAACAGGAGTGCCAGCTGTGATGGATTTCTCCGCATACGAAAACAATCACACCCCCAACTGATAGTTGTGAAAAACACAGCACAACATGCAGTTAAGAACAAAGCAAAGCACTCATAGGATTCAACTTGACCTGACTTAACAGCCAGCATCTCAATCCCCAGAGAGGTTTCACGCAAGCTGGATAGAACTTCGAGTTGCGAACTCGAGAACGGAGGCTCCAGAACGAATCAGACTCTAGACTCTACTTGGAGGTTCATGAGTAGTTATAAGTGGGGTGAGAAGTAGGGTAACTATTTTATAGCCCATGTTAAGGGACTTCTAACTCCATTTGTAAATGCCCATGAACCTCCAAGTAGACGTTACAGCAGAAAGTCAAGGTTTCATTATCCAAACACCAATGAAGGTGCTTTGGGTTCTGTCGTTTAGGGACAGGTTGCCGCTCGTTCCATGCGAGAGCCGAAGCATGCTCTATACTGAACTTGTTTGTCACTCGTGCTCGACAAGTCAGACGAGGTTTCAGGACCATACATCAAACGACTTGGTTCTGCATGTGCCCTAAACCCTATACTGAACTTAGAACCCTAGCGAACATTATAATAATTTTAGCTGTTTCTTAGGGAATATAATTATAATAACCAAAAATTAAAAAAATATATTTCTAAGTACCCGCAAGTGCTGCCAGGCGGCAGGGGCCCAATACCTGGAGGTGGCTGCAGATCCTCCTAGGCAGAATGGCCGCAGGCTTCATCCAAGGACATGTGCAGATGCCCCTACTATATAGTAACGCGTTCCATACTGGCACTTCGATACAATGCCCACACATAATTAATTGATGCTGGAACTATTGTAACAGTACTCGAGCGGACAAGCGCCGTGAATATCAGGTCAGCTTTCAGTATCCAACCCCCAGCCAGGCTCCTCATCTATCACCTTGGCACCCTTGGCGGCACCCTTGGCGGCACCCTTGGCGGCACCTTTTGCAGCCCCCTTGGCAGCGCCCTTGGCGGCGCCCTTGGCCGCGCCCTTGGCCGCACCCTTGGCGGCACCTTTTTCGCCACCAATGGCACGACCGATTTCAGCACCTTTGGCAGCGCCCTTGGCAGCACCCTTAGCTGCACCCTTGGCCGCGCCCTTGGCGACGCCCTTGGCTTTGCCTGGCCAGCTTTAGGTTCGGCTGTAGCAGATCGGGCCCCATTCCACAGTCAAAAGGCTTCCATGCATCTGTCTGGTTCAGCAAATCTTTATTAGAGATTCGAACATCTGTCTGCGCCAGATTCGTGATGCTGCTCCTAGTGCAGTGCCAGCTCAGACTTGGCGGCTGTCAATTCAAGACAAGATGACCTGTCGATGCATATATCCCTCGTTCACATCGCAATAGAGATCCTCAACGATCGGCAAGCCGCAAGTCCCACATCTTATAGTCAGGGAAACGAACCCTGAACTTTTGAAACTGCAGCCCAAACTCGGGGTCTGGGTCTCTGTAGACTCTCTCTCTCTCTCTCTCTCTCTCTCTCTCTCTCTTGCATATATACATATATATATATATATGTATACACATGCTCCGCAGACGATGAGTCGTGCAGATCCGCCGTTTCATCGGCCCCTTGCTTGTTGCCGGACGAGTACTACTGCTCGCTGAAACCGACCCCACCATCATGAACGACCATTGCAGCATGCAGCTCAACTTCTGTGTATGGAAACCGTGGAGATGTCGTTTCAAGCGCCACCCAAGAGTGAGCAATGAAGATTGGGGCACGATTCAATTGCGGATTTCGGAAAGGTGGAAGAAGATGCAAAGGGCAAGCCTAAACTCCAGACTAGATATTGCGGTGCCATATTCTCATGAAAGTTCCTGACCACAGCGTACCGGGAACGACTCACATGCTCTAAGGACGGGTTACCTTCCTTTTGGTTCGGCAAGGGGGGGCGGGGCAGTGTACCTCTGTAGCGGTCAGAAGAGACCGGAACGAAAACTATATCGCACTGCTGCGAACGTGACAACCTTCGGAGACTCGCTTATACCCAGTGCGAAAGTCTCGACTGCAAGACAGGCAACCATTTTCGATGCGCTGCTCTGCACAGCTCTGGCGGTCAGGTCTAGGTCTACGTTCTCTTCCTGCCCCGGCACTCATGATCAAAACGGTTCTAGATTCTATAATAAGGGATCTATATTAGGGTTCTATATTAGGGGCCTTAATAATTGAAATTGGGTTTTGGGGTCCACCCCCCATGCCCATATGCTTGAACAAAACATGTGAACAAGACATACAGTACCTATGTGTACAGGCTGTGGAGAGATCAGCTTCACCTGCCAGGCTAGAGCTAGAGATCAAGTTAACGCTCGATCGTCAGAGCTTGCCAGTCGCCCTCGTCCGCCCATCGAGCTTGCACGGAAGCTCCTCTTTGCAGAGCAGAGGGCTGCAGTGGCATACTGGGCCTGGGTGTAGGATGTAGGGTTCCCCCGTACATCACCGAAGAAATGTCAAGCACAATCTGCACAATTCAAGCATTTCCGGATCTGCATGTACCGCATCAGAGCTGATAAAATCAATTCTAAGCCCCAAACGTTTCACCCCTACCCCACTTGGACCCTGGCCCGAGTTCCCCTAAACCTTCAACCCTAAATTCTTAACCAAACTCGTGGTCCTTGGACGTCCACATAGAGCCCGGTATGGGTCTTCAGGAAGAAGGTATCACCAACCTGCGGAAAACTTCAATAAGGTCGGAGTGGCATTGTTATCCTACAGGTGCTGTTCAAAAGAGCGGTTTGGTTTGGGTGCTTGATACAGGGTCGGGAAGCGCTTTCGTACGGATTCTGCAAGACTTCGATGAATGCATTACACATACCTCTGTAGGATGGCAAGTAAGGTCTTCTCCGGTCTGAGATCTTCATCATGCGGGCATATGTGGGTAGGACCTATGGTTAGCATCTCTAGGCTTGAAGCTCACAACAACGGCCAGTAGGACTGTAGGAAGGGAGAGGGCTTGTTGCAAGTTTTCTGCCTCTTATGGTTCAGGGCAAAGGGTTCTAGGGTGACCGGGTTTGGGCCGTAGGAGATGCAAGACTTGGGGCTGGGGGTGCCTCTTACTTGAGGAGTAAGGAGTATTGCTTCGACCAGAAGGTATGTGTCTTATCAACCAAGTTTCTTTCGGGGTGTGCAGAAGGTCGTGCCAGCAACGTGGCGGAAACATAGCTGTGTACCCCGAGGAAACTCCAGACTCCAACTTGCGACGAACCGGAAGAACAATTGCTCAAGAAGCTTAACTGCAAGAACTCTTGCACCCGAAGCCCACATGCCTGCTGGAAGAGACCTGAATCTTCAATCCCTAGGAGCAGAAGTGCAAGCCCAACTTCAAAAATGCGAAAACACCGAACCCGGCCGACAAAAACATGGATACCCAAACCGCAAAACGCACCTTGACCCCAAACGTCTCGAAACATCGTACAACGCTTTTGCCCACTGACACCATGAGCTTTCTCTTCAGGGAGGAAATCTTGCACCACTTTAAAGCGCCGAGCAAAACAGAGACCTCACGCACCCTTTTTACCATTGACTGTTGATCCTCGGAAGTGCCGTGGCTTCCAATGAACAAAGTCTTGCATCACATCGGAATCCATCATCGTCAAATACGGGGGTGCGGGGTTATGCTCATGTGATTCATGTGTCGTGAAATTATAGGTACTAGTTAGGTGATGCAAGATATCCTCCATCGGCCGTTGTCACAACAACCCTTAAACCAACCAGCAGTGTAACCCCCTCAGAAAACCCTAAACCCTAAAGCCCTAAACCCTAAAACTCCCTCAAGCGCCCCTAAGCCACTCAATAATTACCATAGCCCAAAGGGTCCAAGTTACCATATAGTATATACCTTAGGGTATTAAGTACCTACCATAATAGTACTTGGACCCTTTGGGTAGGTACATAAATGGACGAGACCCGTCCTTCAAAGGCCCCTCGTTCTGGATTGACATCTCGAGCCCCTGCCAAACCTTGGGCTTTTTGGGATGGAGTTTAGGGTCTGGGGCCTTTGGGGTTCTGCGTTTGGCAGGAAGAACTAACTTATGGGCTTTGGCGATATAATGCTTTTGCAAGAGGCTCTGGTAAGGGATTGATGAAGGTGTTGTGGAAATTTATGCTTGCAACCCACCGGCGCTTACCCGATTTGGACAGGGATTTGGTAGGTTTGGGAACTGGCAAAGGCTTCTGAGGAGCTTCTACAGGGCTTGAGGGGTTTGGAGCGCTTGGTCGGGCTTTATCGGCAGTCGAGAGCGCTCCGAAAAACTGTTGACGCAGAAACTACTTATGTGGCCAACGCAGAGGGATCTCTAGCCAGGCTGCCATACGATCGAGACCTCCACCCCAGAGGGGTGCCGCACGAGATTAGCTTGGCCTCGAAGAGTTGTAAGCGCCGTAAGCCCTGGAACAAGCCTGGCCGGTGACCGAAGAATGTAGGCGAAATCTGTTGGGTCCAAGGTGCACCCAAATCCTGCCATCGAGCCTGTACAGGGCTGCCCTCATCCTGCGACGAAAGGTCTCTGTGGGAGCTGTTGGAGAGGCTACATACAACTTCAGCAGTCAGCCATTATTGCACAAGCCTTGCCAGTTTGCACATAAAGGCAACTGCAAAACACGACCACCGTTCATTCATAACCCCTAAACCCTCATTAAAGCTCTTTTTTGAGGCACGGGCTGGGGCCGGACGTCTGAAGAAGCATCATATTGACGCAGGAGGCTGAAGGAAGCTGAAAGAAGCGAATCCGGAAGAGAGTGCAGCATGACTCAAAGTTCAAGCCTGCAGCAAAGATTAAGGCCCTAAACCCTAAGACCCTTAACCCTTTTGCAACTGGCCTGCTGCGACTCCGCCAGGAGTCGACCCTTAACCCTAAACCACTAAGCCCTAAAACCCACTCATGTACAGTATGAAGACGCAGCTGTGTATTCAGCATAGTCCCAAAGTGGTATGCTCAGCGACGAGATTTTGACACTTACACTCGGGCAAGCATTTGTAGCGTCTCTAACCCCCTACCTGGGCCCTAAAGAACCTAAATCTTTAAGGGCTTATATAGGAAATCATCGTAAGAAGCCTTAACAGATAGGTTTTATGCGGTCCAGGTCAACCCCAAACAGAGCCCCGCACATAGACTGTCCGCAATATTACTTGGATCTCTAACCAGTCTGTGTACCGCGGGGACCGAACAACGTTACGGATAATCTGCAGCCTGACCTTAAACTATTATATATACAAAGCTGTTGCCGGAGCCGGCAAGCATGCCAGCTGCACTCTATTTAAGGTTTAAGTTTAGAGTTTACGGGTTAAGGTTCAGGTTTACCCCGGGCCATGGACACTCCCGTTGCAAGATGCATCCTGGACGTCCAGGTAGTTGCCAGTATGGGCTCGAAAAAATGCCAAATCTCCTGATCGGAACCTTGGAATCATGTTGTGCAGTGCTTGGCCTGTGCGGTTGCAGCTATGAACTTCCCTTAGCTGCAACTGAAAAGTTGACGTACCTCAATGCGCAGTCTCAGATGAAGCGTCAAAGTCTTTCTGTACCGCTGCCCACACCTACGAGTCATACGATGGCAGTTTACACCGACAATAGCCAACAACAGGCCAGCAGGCCCTGTGCTGAAAGTGATGCAAAGGTAAGAACGACACACAATAAGCCTTCGGCAAGGAAGCATGGGCTTAAACTCTGCGCCCGACACCCTAAGTTGGGGCTGCCAAAGGGAATCGGAATAAGGATTACGTTACTAATCGTTCAGACTTTCAAACCCCCTCTCTATGTATCTATCTGTCTACCTATCTTTCTACATATATCTATACATACGTATATATATATATATATATATATATATATACATACATTATATCTGTATACATTATATCTATACGTGCACATATTACACGCTGAAACCTCACCTGACTCCGAGGAGCTCAGTGGGGCTCGTGGTCTCCACCACTAAAGGGCTCTTCTCGATGACCAAACCCTGCCACTTCCTTGGCTTTAAGCTTTAGGGTCCAGGTTTAGGGCCTTAGGCATCGCATTTAGGGCCTGGATCTTGCAGTCGGCGGAAAGGACTGGTTGTGGCAGTAGTCGTAGCAATAGTCGTCGTCGAAGTGGTAGTTGTAGTAGTCGTGGTCGTCGTCGTCG